TGGTGGCTCAACAGCCATCTATAATGAGATCTGGTGCCCTCTTCTGACCTGCAGGCAGGACACTACATATATAATAAATAAATCTTTAAAAAAAAAAAACCAAAAACCTAAAGTTATCCAAGAAGCCATAAAGCCAACATTTGCCAGCCCTCACTAACCAATTTAATTTCCAATGGTTCTGTTAGTATTTTTTAAGATTTATCCCACCTAATTAGGATGGAAATTGAGAAGTGGGAAGGCTTGAGTCAGGCCTTAGGAAACACAGGAGTTTAAATGATTAGGGTATGGCATCTAACTAAAATAAATAGAATGAGAGATTTGTCATTAAAATTCCCTAAGCTAGTGGGTTTAGACAGCAGCTGACAGGTCAGTTCTTTATCTTGATTCTGATGTCTTTGGAGGAAGTGACTGGCCAGCATAAATGAAAGCATTGTCTCTGAAATGATTCTAGACATAAAATACAACTGATAAAAAGGGAAAACAATCCCAGTGACTTGGACAATGTTCAAAAGGACCAAAATTTTAGCTCATAACTTCAAATGAAGCAGGCAGGTTTACGGGACACTCAAGGCACACCTTAACATGTTAAATTGCTTCCTCTATGAACCATGGAAAATGAAAGGCAATTAACATAGCTGGGAAGGGTACTTGGCAGTTTCCTTTTGTGGTTTAACTCGGGTCCCTAAATAGCAATACTGCAGATTCAAACATCCAACTTTATACTTTATTTTCTACATTAATCCACAAATGGAGAGCAATTTTGATTCCCTTGTACAACACTGACGGGAACAACTGTTTGCTGTTGCTTTTCTTATTTAAAGAAAGATGTCCCATATTGATGAAACCTTGTCAAGCAATTCTCTTGGGTGACCTAGGCATGCACTTTAAAGGGTCCATGTGGAAAATCATCATCTGGGGCTCCTTCTAAGGAATTTGTGAGTTAATCCTGCATAGTTTTATCCAATACAGAATTCTTCTGTCTCAGCAAAGCTACAGGAAGTTTCTAAGATTTATGACATGACCAAAGACAGTATAAATAACAGAATTTGTATTTTATACATGATAAAATCAAATGAATGTATTCCAAATTACTAAGAGATATTAATAGAATTAAAATAAATCAATTTTATTGTATTTTTGGTTGTGAGCCTAGCCCTTAATGGCTGAGCCATCTCTCCAGCACCAGGGACGGATTCTAATCCCACTGCCAGGGGGCCCCTTAAACAGTTCAAGCTAAACAACTGTCTCAACTATGCAGAGAACCTAGTACAGTCCCATGGGGGCTCCGCAGCTATTGGTGCACAGTTTATGAGTTTCCACTAGTTTGGTTCAGTTGTCTCTGTATATTTCCCCGTCATGATCTTGATGCCCCTTGCTCATAGAATCCCTCTTCTCTCTCATTGACTGGACTCCTGGAGTTCGGCCTGGTGCTTGGCTATGGATATCTGCACCTGCTTCCATCAGTTACTAAATGATGGTTCTATGTTGACAAGGTATTTACCAATCTGGTTGCATGAGTGGGTTTTTTGGAGCTCCATGCCTATGGTGAGACACCTTACACAGCCTTGGTTCGGGGGAGGGAATTGGACCTGCCTCAACTCAATGTACCAGGCTCTGCTGACTCCCCTTGGGAGGCCTTGCCTTGAAGGAGGTAGGAATGAGGGGTGGGTTAGAGGGAAAGGCTGGGGGTAGGAGGAGGGAGGAGGGGGCATCTGTGGTTGGTACATAAAATGAATAGAAAAAATTTAATAATAAAAAAGGAAAAAATAAAATAAATTAATTTTCATAAGGCATATATTTTATAAAGACTCTCATAAATGGACCAAAGATTACAAGATAGAAAATAATTTCCAAGGTGCCTGAGGAATGAAATAAAATTATATCTTTTCTTTTCATTCCCCTTCAATCTTTTTTTCTTCCTGAAACACAGCTAAGTCTTCTCTTTTTCAGGATAATTCTCAAATTATTTATATAAAGGACTAATTCAGTATTTCTCATTATTGTCATTAGTATTAGGATCTATGAAAATTAGTCCAGGTTATTAGCCAACTTAGTAATTCAACTTGATGCTTAATTTTCTAGTAAGTGCCATACTGTGGTTTGGGTCTCAGATATCCTCCAAATCTTGCTGTATTTCAGACTTGATCCCATCTGACAGTGTTACAGGAATATGGCAGAAACTTTTAGGAGATGGACCAAGCTGGAGGAAGTGGGGTGAGTTGAAACTTTGGCCTCTTCTTAGCTTTCATGAGGCCAACTGTTTCCTCCACCATTATCACTATGATGTTCTGTCTCATCACAGGCATAGAGCAATGGGGCCAATCAACCACAGACTGGAATGTCCCAAATCACACACCAAAACCAATATTTCCTTCTTTTAAATTGATTCAGGTGTTCTGTCAACAAGAGCTGACTAGCACAATTCAGTTGGCTTCAACCGAAACACACAACAGACTTTGAGGGTAATGGGATTTTTGGAGAAATATTTGGTATGTCCCAAAGGAAGTAGCAGGAAGGAGGACTAACTTCAGCCATCAAAATAGATAGTGTTTCTGAGTAATGATTTTTGCTACTAGTTGAGCCTTCTGATGTAAGTAAAGATCAATACGTCTGCTTCAGTGGGTGATTGTTCTTGTGGGTTGAAGATGTCCCTCACCAATACCTCAGTGTCATGTCTCACTACCCTCAGGGACTTGCAGAGACCTCCTCCTTGAAATGCTTCATCTGGTATCATGTCAGCATTCTGCTCATCCTTCTATACTCCTGATTGACACCACACACCTTAATATAATCTAGGATGCCCAACTGTTAGTCCATCTATTCATCTCATCTTACAAAGGGGATTCTCTTCAGTCAGAAAATGAAATGAGTAGTTTTGGTAACCATACTCTTTAACCATATCCTGGAGAAGAGGTTCTGGCACATTCTTTTATTCCTATATAAGTATCAAAAGTATGAGAAAAATTGAGACAGAACTATAGTGAGATGTCATTTGTGTCATGCTAGCCTCTTTCATTTTCATATAGGAAATTCTGTCTTCACTGAATCATGTGAGACCACTTAGTCCAGATTGTTGCCAGTACCTTAAGTTCTGATATGCTTAACCTACGGGGGTGGACAGGGGAGGTTATATGAGTGTGAGCATCAACCATAACTGATCGTACTACAGACACTTGCCACTTGTTATCAGCATGGAAAGGCCGAAAGAATTACATGGTTTAAAACAAAACACAAACAAACAAAACCCCAGGATCTCTTAGACTTCCCAGAAGGGAGAAGCTAGAAAATTGATCCTGTAAACCAGGAAATTATCAATATATATATATATATATATATATATATATATATATATATATATATATAAGCTTTTGGTTTCTGAGGTTTTTTAATTTTCTTGTAAACACAAGGGACATTTACAAATATTTGTCAAGCTGATTCACAGAAGCCATTGCATAGAGACCAATAAGCATCTCCTGTAGTGACAGTACCTCATTACTTTAAAACATCACAAAAGGACATGTACCCACTGGACAAACACAAATACTGGTGAAGACGGAACAAAGAACCCACATGCATTGATGTTATTATTATTTTTCTTTTTTTGCCATTAATGAACACAAAGTTTCCATAATTTGAAATTGGGGAGATTGGGGCAAAGCACCAAGTGATGTTTTCACTTTAGAGAACCCTTTAGTGTTAAACAAAATTAGCCTGGGTAAGAGGAACTGGGGAGGACAGAAAAGCAGGAATAGAGTATATTGTAGGGGAAACCATTTTTGTTGATTAAAGAAAATTTGGGGAGGGTGGAGAGATGGCTCAGTTACTAAAAGCCCATACTTCTTGTATAGAGGACCCACGTTTGATTCCCAGGACCAATGTCAGATGTCTTACACCTATCAGTAACTAGACCTCCAGGGCAATCCAGTGCCTCAGGCCTCTTCAAGAACCTCCACTCACATGCAAATACATAGAAACACACACACACACTTTAAACATAATGAAAATAAATATTTAAAAAGGTAATAACTCTTACATGCTTTGTTGCTTTGTTCATAAAATGATCATACCACGCATGCAAGGAACAGAATGAGATTTGTAAATTTTATCCATGGAGAGGATTTTGACTCACTTGCAAAAAAGATTCCAGAGAGGGACAATTTTACGTTTTGCCAGGAAATGAAGCAAATATGTGGAATTCTGCCTGAGACTGGGGGAGGGGGGAGATAAATGGGTGCAGACTTTTCCCTATAAAATATTGATATAGTGTTTTGTGGAAGTTTATTTTTTTTCCTCCAACATCGTAAGAACAAGGTTTAACTAATACAGACAGATACAGATACACCACCACCACCCCTGTGCCACCTTTGTGAGACAGATATGCCTGCAAAGACATCCAGATGTATACATACGTGAAAACGGCCTATAAGATCCCACTAATGACTATGATGTGCTAGGACAGTAGACTCCCAAAACAATACTTGGAGGATAAACACCCACAATAGGCATATGAAATACAGCACCTGCTAAGTGAGCAAGAGAAGGCATAGAATAGGTCTAAAATCACAGAAGGAACTGATGACTAGTTTGGGCCAATGTCCTGGGAGGTTGGCCCGTCCTCATCTTTCTCATTTTATAGGTGGAAAGGCATGACTCCATCAATAACTTTAGTTTCTCCACATTTCTCCCTTCTGAAGAAGGAGCCAAGAACTTAATGAGTCGGGCCAAAGACCTATTAGAATGCGATCGTATTTAAGAGCCTTTTAAAAGGCGGCAGAGAACTAAAGGCTATCAAAGCCTAGACTGTAAACACCACACGTGGAAAGCAGGGGCCATGGAGTGGGCATGCTAAGAGTCAGCTAAGAGTCAAGTCCCCAAGAATCTAGGGAGAAAAGAAAGCAAGGATTTTGTCTGGTTTCTCTGAGACAGAATTACAAATTTATACAGATTCTTAGGGGCTTTGGAATTTTCTTTCTAGAGAATGTAACTTCTTGTCTTCACAGGGGGAACCCTTCAAATAGTGCTAATAAAATGAGTCCTAATGAGGCCTCTCAGACATCAAATGGGCAGAGTGAAAACACGCTTTGATGAGGTAAGTGTATGAGGATCAGAAACATCTCCCCTAACAAAAAAAGTGTTTCCTTCCAAAGCTGTGAAGACCGACAGTTAAATGCAAACCACACTTTACCAAAGTCAAGCTATCTGGAGCAAGACTTTGGCTCTAGGACAAGATTACTGAGTGCCTCACTTAGCATTCAGCCTGTGTGCCTTCTCTCACTACTTTGCAAATGGGTTCCAGCATGCCAAACTATGGACTCCACTTCTTCAATAGCTCAAGTTTAGGAAAGGTTATTCTAAAATCCCTGTTTTACTAAGAGAATGATGAGGATAACTTTTAATTCTTAAAATGTGGGAGAACACATGCCCATAAATGCTTCCATGGTAGTGAATATTACACACAGATAATTATACCTTTGAAACCCTTGATTTCAAGTGGGGAGATGTGAGTTTAACAAGGGTGAAGAAGATGTCATTCCAGTGTCAGAAGCAAATTCTAGCAATCAACCTTGCTGTTTGCAGCCATGGAAGGCAGATACAGAAGGTAGCAAATGTTGCAGCTCAGAAACTCAAGCTAAGCAACCATTTGACAGGATGGCTTGGCCCCTGAATCAGCAGGTATAGTCAACAGCCTTGGCAGTTCATTTTCCAAACTCAGAATCCATCACAAACGAAGATGAAGCAGACACTTTAGTGGCTAACGTCAAAAATCCCATTCTCCAGGAAGGCATTTAGTTATTATTAGCGTCTTTGATTAACAGCCGTATGGGAGCAGTAATCAGTTTCTACCTACTGGAGTCCATTCTGTTAAGTCCATTCCTTGGGAAGATCTGAAATTCCATTTTACTGTCTCAATGTGCTTATAGCCTGAGGTCTTTGAAGTATTTTTCAAGTGAAAAGGGACATTTCCCCTAGTCCACCCTAGGAAAGGCAGAAGCTGGAGACAAAGACACATTTGTACAGTAAGGTCTCTCAGCTTCTGCCTCGTGGCATTTGCTGTGGGGCCATGCCCTGCACTGCAGGGTCCCCCAGCTTCTGCACCATGACAGTTGCTGTGGGGCTGTCCTACACTGTATCTAACTTCATCTTTGGACTCTGTACCCATCTCTTGGAAAGCACAAGTGGCCAGTAGAGAAGCAGTGCTACTGTCCGTGGTTGGAGGGTAAGGTGTGGTGGGGGAAAGGCAGAGAACAACCTGTCAGGTGAGGTAGCAAAGGTGCCATAATCTACTGCAGCTCACTCATAGAATAGACCCGGTTTCCAGAGAGTATATTTTCATCTCTCACACAACCTACTTCTTACATTCTCTGTGTCTGTAATAACAAACATCCTTTGAGGCAGAGAAGTTGCTTTGCATTTCTATCAGCTAAAGTTTCATAGAGAAATAGAGTGACTAGGATATACTACATAGATACAGGCCAATGAATTGTCTCCCACATCCTTATAACTGGCTGGCAAAGCAAGTCTGGAAATCCATGAGGCTGGCTATAGAAAAGTCAGGCTGAGACTCTGGGGCCAGAATTGAAGCTATAGCCCAAACCCATACTTTCCCAAGGAGGAAACTGGGTTCTGCTTGTAAGATTCCAGCTGGATCAGGCTACCACACTTGCTAGGATGCTCTCACACTCCTCTGAATGATAACAGGAAGCTAATCACACCCAGAAACACCTACACAGTCACAGCTGGTTTGGTAGGGTAGTATCTTAGCCATTGAGGCTACTGTAGCAGAACACCATAGACTGTGTGGCTTATAGACACTGTAGACATAGTTCTCTAAATTTTTGATTCTGGAAAGTTCAAGATGAAGGCGCCAATAGATTAGGTGTCTGGTGAGGATTAACTTCCTCTAGCATCTGCAACAATAATCTTGTAGCTAGAAGTTTCTCTGGTCCTGCCTGGTCCTGCCTGCCCTGTAGTCAGGATGAATATTCCCCATCCACGACCATCAGCTACTTGGTCCCAAGTAAACACACAGAAGCTTATATTACTTACAAACTATATGGCCTATGGGTCAGGCTTCTTGCTAGCTAGCTCTTATAACTTTATCCATTTCTATTAATCTATATGTTGCCACGTGGCTATGGCATTACTGGTCTGTGGCATCTTGTTGCTCCTTGGGTGGCAGACTGGCATCTCCCCGGACTACACCTTCATTTGTCTTCAGTCCTAATGTACCATCCAACCTTATCCTGCCCTGCCATAGGCCAACACAGTTTCATTTATCAACCAATCATAGCAATACATATTCACAGAATATAGAAAGACATCTCACAGCATAATCTCATATGGTAGAAGGGCTGGGAGTCTCCTTAGAATCTCTTTTATAAAGATACAACTCCTGTTCATGAACTGAGCCGCAATGACCACTCACTCTCAAAGGCCCCACATCCTAAGATCATCACATTAAAGATTTTACCATGTATGAAGAAAGAGGGTCTTTTGTATGGGGATTATAGATTAGTCATGTTGGCACATAGAACTGACAACGATAGTTCTAGAAACTGTTCCTAAGGCTATGGTGTCTATCTAGCACATTCTTAGAGTCCTGCCATTTTGGTCTTATCTTAGGTCCTGATCAACTCATGAATATTTCTCTGGGCACCTACTGCATGAAGCTCTTGCCATGGACAGGCAGAAGACTGAATTCTATCATGAGTCGGTCCATGAACTTAATAGCATCTTTCAAGAGATTTGAGTGGACAGTTTCCACCAGATATACAAATAACTGACAATAACAAAAGAAAACGTGACTAACATCAGTTGCCGCTAGGGAAATGCAAATGAAAATCATGATTATTCATTTTCTCCTAGCAACGATCACCTATGGGGACGAAGTTATTGTCCCCGCGTTGTCCACTGCTGAGGTGCCCATGTTCCAATGGATAACCCAGGTGGCAGCCAGGTTTCAATAGCTAATTCAGGCAGACAAGGTTAAACTCAGCATGTCACAACTCAAAACCAAAATAAAAAGACATTATAGTTAGTGGGGCATGGAACTTGTTGGGAGCAGAGGCATGTTGATTGAGGGGGAATAGTGAGCATAGCCAAACTGTGTTATCCACAGGTATGAAATTGTCAAAGAACATATTAATAAAGATAACATTAACTAGCACACTCTACCAGGAGTATGATTACAGAAGAAACGACACTGGCTAACTAGTGAAAGTAGTGATGTGAAGAAATTATAACTGTTATTCAATTGATGTTCAAAATGTAAAATGGTGCTGCTGCTTTGAAATACAGTCAAGGTCTCCAAAAGATGAAGCACTAGAAGACCTTATCATCTAGCAATTCCACTCCTAGGTGTATAGCCAAGTAAGGTGAGAACACACATCTGGGAAATCTTATACAGATGTATTGTCTCCAATATCCAAAAGGCAGGAACAGCCCAAGCATCTATCATTCCCGAATATTTTAGAAAAATACAGTAAGCTCATACAATGGAATTTTCAGCCATCAAACTTAGGAAGTATTACTCCATTCTTCAGCATAAATACACCTTAAATGTATCACACATGCTAGTCAAAAGAGCAAGTCACAAAAGGCAAGTTGCTGGGTGATTCCATTGCATCAATAACAAGACAGGTAACTCCATAAGAGCACAAAGTAAATTATGGTTTCCAGGGACTGAAAGGGTTCTAAAAAATGGGGTGTGCCTGTTAGAAGGGATCGGGTTTCTAAGGTGATGAAAATGTTCAAAAACTGACTGTGGTAATGGTTGATAGGCTCCACAAATGTACTTAAACACAAGTGAGTCAAATGTATGATGTATGAACTGTACTTCAAAAAAAGCTGTTGTCAATTTTAAAAGAGTGTTTTGAGAAATCTGGAAGCAGAGATTTAAAAAGACTGTTGCTGTAACACTGTCAAACCTATGATTAACCCGTGACATCAACTGGCTTAGCCCCCATACTGGGAAGCAGGCATCAGAGGGAGAGATGAGGTAAGAGGCTCTTCATAGCCTGGTGTTCACCAGTCCCACCAGGGATGCCAGGAGGAAGAAACCCTCACCAGAGCAGACAGACCCATTCCAGGACCTCCTCTGTCCCGTGCTCCACTCTGGCGTCACTTGTGTAGTCTGCCACCTAAGGCAAACGGATGTGAGTGGGTTCATCCAAGAAAACACTCAAAAGCTTGCCTAGACAGAGTATGAGCTCAGAAACTGCTCTTTTACCTCAGTGGCTTAAGAATTTTGATTCATTTGGTAACAGTTTATCTTTGATGACGGACAATGAATGACTCAGTTTTGTGGCGTTTAGCACCTCCATTCTGGGAACTTACTCAAACACATTTTACTTATTCCACAGACAGCTATGGACTTCGGCCCAAGCTTCCTCCTTCCTTCTGGCTCCCATAATAGGGAATTTATTGTATGTTGATCCCTCAGGAGAAGTAAGGGGAGGTTGTCATGTTACCGGTATGTAAAGCTCCAGTCCTTTGAGTTTCTTCTGCCTTTTCTCATCTGAAGTACAGATATTTAACAGTCGGCTTTGGCTAGGGTTTTCAAGAATGGAAAACAGGCAGATGAAAATGAATGATCTGACTTGTATTCAAACTTGACTTTAGTAAAACCAAATGAGAAACCTAGTGAAGAGCAATAGGTATTTTTAAACAGGGGCTCGCCAGGCATGGGGCAGGCACTGCTTAGCATCTGGTTGTCAGTGGAGGTCCAGAACCTCACTCAGTGTTTGTCTCACTTCCAGGACATTATGGGCACACTCATTTTGGCATCAGTTAAATTGTTCAGACTGACTGTATTTATTTGTTCACCTCTAGGCCATTTATTCACCAGCACTTGGTGAAGACATCCTAGTCCTAACTATCCCAGCAAATGCCTTCCTCTTCACAAGGAATCTCTGACCTTCCACAGGTATGGATTCTATGCACTTTATACCAGGCCCCTTACATATATGACTCCTCCTAAGTTTGACCCATGATCTCCCACCTGATCTGATTAAGACCTGAGCCAAGCACCAACCAAGCCCTGCACTGCCCTGAGCCCTGGGTTCTGTAGGTGTTTAAAAAACAGCGACAGCACTTGGTGAAGACTGGAGTGCAGCTATGGGATCACTGTTCCCTCTCACTACCCTCCCAGGCATCTGCATGCAAATTGCCTTGTAAGCACTGCAGCCTAAATCATCTAAAACCTAATTCCAACTAACAAATCCTCTATCAAAAGATAGCAGAACCCTTTGGGTTTGCTCTGTAGGCTAAGCCAGAGTCAACTCATCTCCTATTCAAATTAGTGCAGTATTGATCAAACCAAAGGAAGCTTGAGCATAAAGTCACATATTCTAGTTACCCATTCATAAAGAAAAAATGCCACCAAGTTCTCCCTTTTTCTTTTCTTCAAGGCATGACTAGCTGTGAGGGCTCAAGAGAAGTAACAGTATTGCCTTTGCTCCTTCTTGACCCCATGTAGGCATGGTTCTTCCACATTCCTGTCTTCCTGTGCCATTCTCTCCCCTCTTTACTCTTAACTTCCCCTGTTCATCTCTGGCTTGCCCTCCATCCCAGTCCTAACTATCCCAGCAAATGCCTTGTATTTCTCCTACTTTGGTATCTACTTTAGTTCAAAAATACCATTAGTTACTTAATGTTTTATTGTTTTAATATGAGGTAAGAAATGGAGAATAAGCATAACTATACACATCATACTATGTGCATGTGTGGCTTGTGTGATATACAATATTTCAAGTTCTTAAAAACACAAGGGAAATAAAAAAAACCAAACTTATAATAAAGAATCAGAGAGAATCTTGAATTTGATCAGGAACTGGTTAAGACTGCTTATCTTATGTATTAAACAGATTCTGATGCCTGAGCTGCCAACTTTGGTGCTCACCAGGGTCAATTAGATTTTCTTGTATCTAGAGTAGCCAGACTATACTACAGCATCTACCCTAAGAGATTCCAAAAATTGTAAGAACCAACTCACCAAATATCATGAAGAAATACAAAGGTGCGGCCATCTTTATTTATTTTATTTTATTTTATTTCTAACCAAAAGAGCTTATGCACTAGGTGTGTTACAATATGATGACCTTGTCCAATATGATGGTGATTTAAAACCATGGAATTATGTCCAGGCTACTCCATGGGAAATCTTGCCCATAAAGAGTCTTATTCCTTAGGTCATTTGTTTAGCCTACTGTCAGTAAAACCTGAGCCAATGTGGAAAAAAAAATGTCTGAATGATCTGTGCCAGATTGATCTAAGTTTTTGGAGAACATTGAACTCTCTTTGAATTGTGAAGTCGAGTAACACTGATGGCATTTTCTAAGTATGGACTTGGCCTTAGAAGACCTAAGGGTGTCAAAGTGGGAAAACTTCAATAAAATTGTCTCTCTGCTGCTATTTCATGAGCAACTCTCATTTTACTTTAGAAAAATCATTCCCCAGACTGCCAAAAGCTGCTGGCAGATGGAGGTTCTATTAACTAGACGGTTGGTCTGCAGTTAAAGCTTGACCATGGCTGAGCCCGTGCTCTGTGGCTTCTGGGGGAGGATAGGCAGGTGGCTCACAAGTGTGGCACACTACTGGGGATGGGTCAAGAATAAGAAACCCTTGCATTTCACATAGGATGCTCAAAGACAGAAAGAGACTCCAAGCTAAGGATTATTAACAAAGTCTACAGAAAGAAAGCAAGTGATGAATGACTGGAATGTCTGCTGATGGTAAGTCAGGGAAACTCTTTGCACAGGTAACCAGGAGAGATGAGCTCTGGTGTTCTGAAGCTGAATTCACACAATATGTAATAAACCTGTGTCTACATATACTTGCTAGTAGACCTAGCTAATATTTTAGGGTACATTAGAAGAGCAAGAATTAAGCTTCTTTTCATTTATGTGCATACATGGAGAAGTTAGTTGTAAATATTTTTTTTACTGTTTCCTTATTTGTAAAATACTCAGAATAGAGGCACACATTGCAAACAGCCCTCTGCAATTAACAAAAGGATTGCATAGCCATTAGAACCATATTTTAACACTTCAGGTTCACAAATTTCATCTTTCTATGTTTTTTGCTCTTGATTTTGATGTTTTTCTCTGGGAAACCATGTTCTTAAAGGCATTATGAAGATTCTTGTTCAGCTGTATATTATAAATGCTTAGATGCATAAGTGACAATATTTTTACATAGGCAAAGATCATCTGAACAGATAGACATTTGATACTTACTCAACCAAGTGGTGATGGGTATGTATTTTTTTATAAATATTTATGTTATTTTATACAACTCTTATTTGACTTTATCATGGCCTAATGGCCATTCTGAAAAGAGTAGATATCTTTGCATTGCAAAGATTCTTGTAGAGAATTATGCTATAACTAGTTTCAAAAGTATCCACTTAAAAATTCATCACATCCTCCACATGGACATATTTGTATACAATAACTAATAACTTGTGAGCTTTGTTGAAGAACAATAATGCATATCTGCAGATGGTGAAAAAATGAACGTTAAGACTATAAAAACTGAATGGACAAAATATCAATTCATGGTAAAGCAGATTGGGACAAATAGTGAGCCCAGGCATGGTAGCCTCCATGCATTATGCATTTGGGCAATTGAAAGTTTCAGAATTGTGAACTTCCTTTTTCACCAACTGATTTATAACAAAGTCATCCACCTGCCATTGGTCAATCAATTTATAACAGTGTTCTTTTCAATCATTGTATTTCTAGTCTCCCATATATCCTTTAGGTACCTTTCTGGGTTAGTGTATGTGTGAAAGAGATGAAGTATTGAGGAAAAAAAGCATCTAGTATTTCTTCTGGGACAACACAGAATTGAGACGGAAAACTCAAAGAGAATATTCTTCTAAATATAGACTATAGCACTCCTTGCTACATTACAGTTTAACACAATTTAATGTTATTTCTGGTGGCTAAATATAATTCCGTCTTTTTTTTTTTAAAGTCCAATATTGAAATACTGAGGTTTGTAGGCAAGAGAGATGGCTCGGTGGTGAAGAGCATGTGTTGCTCTTGCAAAGGAGTTTCAGTCTTCAGTACCCATGAAGTGGCTCACGATCATCTGTAACTCCAGTTCTGGAGGATCCAAAGCCCTCTTCTGGCTTCTATGGCATCAGGCATTCCTGTGGTGCGCAGGCATACATGCAAGCCAAACACTCATAAATATAAACTAAATTATTCTTTTTTAGAACGTTAAAAATACTACTATTTAAGATATTGGTTGTCCCTTAGTGCAAAAATAGTTGATGATAAATCCCATTTTATAAACCAACAAGACGATGGATTTGGTCATGGTGAGTGACAACAGGGGGTGAGGGAGAAATTATATCGATACTGATAAGAGTTGTTGGCTGCAGAAGCTCAAAACTTAATTGTTGATAACTCTGCATTCTTTAGTTAACACCATGCCACCAAGACAAGGAGTTAAGACAGCACTCTGATTTAAAAAAAAAATCACATGTAAATTCTTAAGGGGGTCATGGAGATACTTTGTAGGATTAGAAGGCTGCTGAAGAAAACTGTTTTTCTCTTCTAGTTGTCTCGAAAAATAAAGCAGTGATAAAAGGAAGCATGTGTGGCTCTTTGTGGAAGAAATGTAAAATTAGGTGCTGTTCTTTGCAACAACAACAAAAATGGTTCTACAAGATGCTGTGGAGGCAATGAATCAAGATTATCAATAGTAAAGAACTGATGTATCTACTTCAAATTAAAAAAAAAAAATTCCAGTATCCCATTGGATAGGAGTATAATATCAACATTTTCAAGATTTAAAAAGCTAAGAAAAGTCTTGTCTATCTTGAAAGATGGATGCCAAGATTTCTGCAGCATATTCATGTCTATTTGTTTAATACATGTCACATGGACAACCTTAAGACCCTTTAAGAGCCTCTTCCAGTGGCTCTACTCCCACAGCCCACACAGCACAGATATGAAAAGAACATACAGACAGAAACCCCCTAAGGAATCCCAAATGCGCGAAAGCGCTCTGCCTACCAGCACTCTACCTAGGACAGTCCAGATCCAGAGATACTTAAAAAGCAGTGACAACAATAATAACAACTTTACAATGCAATTTTGTATATAAAACGTGTTGTGCATCTATGATGTGCTAGGCAGGATGATGACTGATTTACACATATTAATTACATAAGATTCACTCTGAATTTAAATATTGGTGTTTTGTGATGTCATTTTGCATTTTGAGAGAATAGAGATTAAACAGGACTAAGATGTGTTTTCCTTTAGTAATAAGAAAAGCAGCCAGCTGAACCTGGAATGGGGCGGTTCCTAAATCAGGGACATGACCATCTGTGTCCATATATATATATATATATATATATATATATATATATATATATATACAGCAGCATGTCTGAGAGCTTTCAGGGCATTTAAATGGGTCGTATAATGAAAATATGACAGAAGAACAAAGCATAGCCTATCAGAAATATCTCCTCTAGGCTTTCTTTTCTTGTGTGTTACTTTATGCTCCATAAAGATGGTTATGAATTTGCTCTGATTATGAAAAGAAAAACATTCACAGGGAAGAACCAATAATGCCAATTTCAAATGGTTTTACTAATCTTTGTATTCCTTGCTTTCTAACTTTCATTTCTAACAATGGACCAACATTTAGTTCAGGTACATTCTCATCTAAGGGTCACACTCATGCCTGTTAAACAAAATGTATGGCTACAAATATGTGATAAATAGTGTTTTTTGTTGTAATTATCTTTGGCATGAGAACACTTTCATGAGAGTGTGTTCAGTAATAGCAGCACATAAATAAAATAATTTATTATAGATATAGTAGATTGAAGATGTTGGAAACAAGGCTCTAGTCTGGGTCTTTTTATATCTACCATCTGCTGATTGGTAGGAAGTCATAGTTCCTCTTTTAGTAGAAATAAACAGCTAACTTAGGTGCACTGCTCACATTGTAAGTGAAGTAATAGCGCTGAGGTGATCCAAAACCCAAGTTAAATGTTGGGCACCACCTATCATGTTCCTTTAAGGATATGAACCTAGGAATTTTTCTGACAGGATCAGCTGCTTTTAATTCACTGTTTGTGATGACTTCAGCAGAATTGTAAATTAGTCAGTTATTTTAGAAGAAGAAATGTGTTGATTTCATCTCTATTATCTTGAATTTATGAAACCACTTGTGATTTCATAGACAAATAATGACAGGGGATGCCTAAATGAGCAGGAAGTGAGTTCTCTCCTCTCATTGCTTGTAAGGAGTTATTGGGCATAATTTCTACTCTTCTCTCTCTCTCTCTCTCTCTCTCTCTCTCTCTCTCTCTCTCTCTCT